ATACACAGGTTTAAAACTCTCATTTAGCTCAGAATCGATCACAATGGCGTAGGTATATACACACTCTGTCTTCCCTTAGACTATGAGATTAGAATTACTTTATATCATTCGTTCTACCAACTAATTCCTTCTTCCTGTACTATATCTTCATACACAATCTTTCTTTTTATATATTACTACCAATGAAGTAACTAATTCTGTGAATTCGGTACTCATTTTATTGTGCTAATGAGGTGTAACAACTTGGACCGATGTATATACGTGTCTGGCCCTACGTTGCAGCTGACTGACTGACTGACTGATCTAATCAGAAGGTGGACATTCTCAACACCACTTTAGCATCACTCAAAGATCGTTCATAAATTATAGTCTCATCAAAATTTTATAGATAAACACTAAGTGAGTTTGTGCAGAATAAAGGAAAATTCAGGTTCACTGTATGTTTTCAACCAATTTTATTCTTCTAAAGTTAACTGTTCAGAAAAGATTTTTAATCTGAAATGAATATGTAAAATGAAGGAGTCCCATACTAGGACGAATTGGACGTCCAGTGCTTTCAGGTTTTCCATGATAGTCTAGCTTCAATTGACTCATGATTTCAACCTGTGAAATTTCTAAAAATCTCCACAAAACCCATTCTGATAAAATTGTTATATCTATATTGTTATACATGATACCTATAATATAAAACTGTCAGAAATACACATCATAATCTTTAAATGTCCTTAACATAGGATATTTCTTTCATCATCCTGTCAAATATTCATCATTCCATTTGTCATTATATATACTAATGAATATAATATCATTGTATTTCATGTACAATAAGATTAAATATCTTCTATAATATCCGACAGATTTCTCACCTCATTCATTTCTAATTTATAAATTATACATTTCATTTTGTCAAACTATGCAATATCCTACAAATACAATTTACATCATACAATATTATTAGTATGTATATTGATATACAACATAAAGGATTATAGATAAGAATAATGTATTAATGGTCCTGGTGATGATGATGATGATGATGATAATGGGGTTATTTTTTAAAGAAGGAAAAAAGGACAATGAGGAAAAAAAGGAGGATTAGTTATTCTCATCACAAATGGTTGACATTTATTCTTTCATTGTTGACATAGACATGTGAACTAAATTTAGTTGAAATGTATAAAGAATATTGGTATACTTATAGGACATGGATAATGACGTTTGAATTTAATGAAATCTGTTGATGTAAACAAAAATTATCAATAGTGGCTATTGGTAGAATCCAGGGTACATTTTTTCATTTGATTTATGACTCGTTACCTAAATGTAACTGTATACAAGTGTTGATATTAACATGGATTGACTACAGTCTTTAACATTAACAATGAGAAAATAAAGATCTTTACAAGTAAAATTCATGCTTATTCCAGAAGCTTATGGTTGCAAGGACTAGAGAATAACGCTTTAACATTTCAAAAGAAAGGTACTGTTTTTAAATATTAGTGTAATTATGAACACTAATATGCAAGTAGATCCAACTGACGAGTCATAAACAGAATGAAACACAAGTCCTAGATTCCACTCCTAAATGCTATCATAAAATACACAAACTGTGACCAAATAGCAATATTGAGGCAATCCCCTCAGGATGTGTATATATCAGAAGAAACTGACCAATTATAATCTGTAACACCAAAAACTGGAAAATACAAACCCTTGGAAATAACTGTTACCTATCTGAAATATTGGTAAAGTGAAATTTCTTGAAATAGTTTTGTATTCAGTAAATGATGATTGACTGACTAAAACAAAATGTCACTGTGAAACTACAAAATATCTGTAGTATACTGTATTTTAAAATGCATAACCAGGATCTTGTTACCAAATGATTAAGAATACCAATAACGTGTGAAAAATATGTTCGGAGGTTCCTAGCAATCGCTAAATATTATTCAAACATTCGATTGCATAGGGTTTTAGTGTAATATTTTTTTCACCTAGTTAAAACAGATTATGTGATGCTTAGATAATAAATATGCTTATAAGGCTTATAAGGCACCTCATCATATACAAAAATTGTATTTTTAACTTTATATCTTATGACGATAATGATTGCTAGATTTTCAAAGTTATTATTTACCATTCTCAGAATGGGATTTGTGGAGATGGTATTAATTTAATAGTTGAATTCATGAATCAATTAAAGCTAGATCATTATGGAAAACCTGCAAGCACTGGATGACTGTTCCGTCCTAGTATGATACTCATCAGCAGTGCACATTCACGAGTCCGCACGTGGGACTCGAACCCAGAACCTTCGATCTCGTGCGCGAACGCTTAATCTCTAGACCATTGAGTCCGTATCCAACAATGTTAATGTCTAACTTGAACCAATCCACGATAGTGCGCCACCATTCACTTATTAAATGATAGTTTTTGATTAAATGAATCTTTGTAATTAAAAAAAATCATATACGAAACGGTACCGTTGTACATAGATACTTTCACTAACAAGCTCAAACTCATCATTTAGATTAACTTATAACTTCCGTAACGCAGAATTTTAAGAAGTTTCGATTAGCATTTTACATCTCCATAATACAGAGAGAGTAGTAACCAATGTTAATCTAATGATAAAATAATGATCGTTTACGTCAAAAATCCACATAACGCTGACATAATCACACCTATTCGACTTTTTATTGAAATTAATATTCTGTCTTGGTCTTATAATCTATTTAAACCTGGCTAATATTAAGTTAAGAAACGTCAAAAATCCAAGTTCCTACTGATTGGAATATTACGGAAATACTAATATTTAATCAATAACTTTATTTCTATAGGTGTTCAATTTATTTGAAACTTGCGGTTCGACCCTGGTACTGATACCTACATTGCTAGTTTACTTTTGGTAGATTAAAACTTTTAGATGTCACAATATCAGTGGATCTAAATGCTTTGCACAAATGTTAAGTGAACAATCATTGTTGTCGCAAGCTTTTAAATGACACCAGGAAGCATTGGACATTCATTTCATCTTAGTATGAGACTTTTTCAGCAGTGAATCTCAATATAAACATTCTTGTTATATGAATAGTCAGTTTGTATTTCACTATCTGAGAATGTTATGTTGTCGGCCAATACTATTGACCTTATAAGTAACTTGATGAACAATGATATTTGGTTGAGATACTCCGAGAACAACAGATCAATTAGATTGATTTCTTATAACGAGCTTATTCACTAATCGGTCTTGATTATAATACAATTAGATGTGATCAGTTTTCATTGCGAGAAATAAAAATTAAATTAGACAAATTAGACTATGTGAGGAAAAAATAGGGTAGATCGAAATTGTATTAATCAAGTCACTTGAGATTTTTATGACTTCAAAAAACCTGAATACTTTCTCTTGATAATTTTCACTCAAAACCAAAAACGGTCGAGTTAAGATGAACGCTTTAATTGAGACACTGAACGGTAACTTTTTTCAGTCATTTAGGGAACATGTAAGCCATCTTTACTTACAAATTACAATCACATTCATATACATATAAATTAATAAACACAGTGAAGTGTTACATGATGATTTATATTCTGTTTAGGTTCTTTTGTAAAGTGTAGACACTGTTTTTTGAACAATACTGACATGGGCTGAACAGTACGTTCTACAGCTAAGCGATTATGTTTTCGTTTCAGCGTACAGCTATTTCACTCGTTTTTTGAGTGATATAATGAAATAGCCTGGTTTTTAGGTCCCAATAGCCTAGTGAGTCTTGGATATCTATTCTGCATCACTGATTTATTTAAGAATGACACCATTCTTCCAATAGTATTATTTGTACAAAAATGATCAGTTCTATTGAAGAAAGCTCATCAATCAAACTTCTGTTTATTAGACTTACTAGTAATAATAGAAACTAATCCAGTGCCCTATTCACTTAGAGTTTGGTTGAGACAAGTTTATCGACGTTAAATCTACAGTTGTTAACTGGAACCCCATTTTAGAATCTGCTTAGTTCCAGAATATCGAAATAGTGATTAAGAATCATAATGTTAATTAACTCTAGACAGTTGCGTAATGAAGTACAGAACAATATCAATTGAAATCAGATAATTAGAAATAAGATTAGGAATTCAAGAGAAATGAAAATGATGTAATTAAAACACGAGAAAGAGTCAAAATTAGAAAGAAAAAATGATGCTATAAAATGGATATAACATTAACAGAGTAATGAAAGATTGATTGTTGTTTCTTTTACAACACATAAATTTAAATTTTTAACTCCATGATTCTTATTCATTATTTCGATGATCTGGAACTTCCCCTCTAACAATTCAATAATCTCAATTGATTGATCACTGGGTGGTGATCAATGTCATGCTTGTCTAGTCCTTATTAGTGCAGATCGAATGCTATCGATCATGTTGCAATGTGGCCACCAGTCTAGGTGACTCGACACTGCGGGCACTATATATTGAGATGACCACCACCCAGAGGTCGGTCGCGACTCGGATAGCTCAGTGGTAACGTCTCTGACTGTGAAGCTAGGTGACACTAGGTCGAACCCGCCAGAGAGCACCAGCTCCCTCAAGATTACAGGTACACCTTGCTGACGAGTGTCAAGTAGCACGAAACCTAGGTCGAAGGTTTCCTGTTGACTACCTCCAACCACCATCTAATTCATTAATCTGAAACAAATATTTACTATCTTATTAACGTTATCGGAATCTTTGTTATATCGTAATATACATCTTCATTTCTAATCACTTTTGTTTTTTTACAAATATGCCAATTTCTATGATAATTTTGATTTTAAGACATTACATATGTCGTAAGTAGCTGATATGAATCTAGCGAAATAAAGTGAATTCATATTATTCTGCATCAATCTTCGTTTTATCTCTCCTCAAAATGATTGTTTTTTATTATTATATATATATATATAATATATATATATATATATATAGAGAGAGAGAGAGAGAGAGAGAGAGACACTAACCTTACTGCTCGGACGTTTGAGTACATCACCAATTCCACCACCATTTAGTAGTCCTTCTCGTAAAGTTGTCAATATACACATACGTAGTGAATCACATCGACGTTCTGTACTATCAACAGCTTCTTAGTAAAATGTCAATCGATTTATAAAATGATAAAACAAAGAAAAACTCAAGTAATTAAATTAAAGAGATTTTGACTAGGAATATAATTTATGTAAAATTCTGAAGGGAACAGAAAAATTATGTATAAACACCGAAATTATACTGAAACTACGTTTATATACAGACAAATATGGACATTAGGGCAGAATGTTTTAATAAAAAATGATAAACTTTAAAGGCTTAACCAATATAATGTCTCTTATTAATCTGTCCTCTGATCTTAAAACCTCTGCCGGTAAATGATTATCAACACTACTGGGCGAAAATGGACATTGCCTAGCAGTGGAATCCAGGATGCGAGTTTCCTACTATTTGCGACTCGTCAGATGGATGTACTTGCATCTCAGAGTTGATATTCACTCTGAGACTTGAAACCAGGATAATACGCTTCAAACGTCATCGCGTTATCCACTTAGTACTGAGTACTGACAGTCACTGGTTTGTGCAATGTGATGAAGTTTTAATTTATGTTGTACCACCTCGGAGATGAAAGAACATCAATCTGACGAGTTCA